ACTATTCAAACTATTTCAGATCATAGAGAAGGAAGGAATACTTCTAAATTGATTCTATGAAGCCAGCATAATCCTGATACCAAAACCAGGCAAAGATATTACAAAAAAAGAAAATTACAAACCTATGTCTCATGAATATAGATGCAAAATTTCTCAACAAAATTCTAACCAATAAATTCAGCATCACCTCACAAAAAAAAAATATCACAACCAAGTGTGATTCATATCAGGTACGCAAGGATGATTCAACATTAGAAAATCAGTCAACGTAATCCTCCACATAAATAGGACAAAAGAAAAGAATCACACGATCATTTAAATCGACGCAGAAAAGGCATTCAAAAAGGCCAACATCCATTCCTGATAAAAACTCTCAATAAAAAAGGAATAGAAGGGAAATTCCTCAACATAATAAAGGGCATCTATACAAAACCAACAGCCAACATCATTCTCAATGGAGAGAAGCTGAAAATATTCCCCCTGAGAACAGGAACAAGACAAGGATGTCCTTTATCACCACTCCTATTTAACATTGTGCTGGAAGTCCTAGCTAGAGCAATAAGACAAGAAAAGAAATAAAGAGCATCCAAACTGGTAAGGAAGAAGTAAAACTATGCCTATTCGCAGATGATATACTATACATAGAGAACCCTAAAGACTCCACTTGAAAACTACTGGAACTAAAAGAAGGAATCAGCAGAGTAGCAGGATACAAGGTAAACATACAAAAATCAGTTTAATTCCTATACATCAATAAATAGAACTATAAAAAGGAAATCAGGAAAGCATTACCATTTATAATAGCCCCTAAAATAATAAAATACTTAGGAATAAAGCTAACCGTGGACGTGAAAGACCTATATAAAGAAAACTACAAAACACTACTGCAAAAACCCAAAAAAGACCAATATAAATGGAAAAACATACCAAGCTCATGAATAGGTAGATTCAATATTGTGAAAACTTCAGTTCTACCCAAAGTAATCTAAAAATATGATGCAATCTCAATCCAAATATAAACAGAATTCTTTAATGAGATGGAAAAACTAATCATTAACTTTATATGGAAAGGAAAGAGGCCCTGTATAAGTAAAGCACTATTGAAGAAGAATAAAGTAGGATGCCTCACACTACCTGACCTCAGAACACTACTCTACAGCTACGGTAGTCAAAACACCCCGCACTGGTACAACGACAGACACACTGACCAATGGAACAGAATCGAGAACCCAGATGTAAATCCACCCACCTACAGTCACCTGATCTTCGAGAAAGGCCCAAATCCACTAAATAGGGAAAAGACAGTCTTTTTAACAAATAGTGCTGGCAAAACTGGATGTCTATCTGCAAAAAAAATGAAACAGGACCCATACCTCATATCATACGCAACAACTAATTCAAAATGGATCAAAGCCCTAAATATAAAACCCCAAACTATAAAGCTCATAGAAGAAAAAACAAGGTCAATGCTAAAGGTCCTAATACACAGTAGAAGAAGGATACAAACCATAAGTGACAATACACAAATGCCAGAAGATAAGCTAGATAACTGGGAGCTCCTAAAAATCAAACACTTATGCTCATCAAAAGACTTCACTAAAAGAGAACCTACAGACTGGGAAAAAAGTTTTGGCTATGATATATCCAACAAAGGTCTAATCTCTAAAATCTATTAGAAAATTCAACACCTCTGTCATGGATTGAATTATGTCCCCCAAAATATGTATCAGTTTGGCTGGGCCATGATTCCTGGTATTGTGTGGTTTTCCTATATGTTGTAAACCTGCTTCTATGATGTTAATGAGGGAGGTTGGGTGGCAGTTGTGTTAGTAACGCAGGACCTGATCTACAAGACTGGATTGTGTCCTGAGGCAATCTCTTGAGATATAAAAGACAGAAGTGAGCAGTGAGACAGGGGGACCTCATACCATCAAGAAAGAAGTGCCAGGAGCAGAGCACATCCTTTGGACAGGGGTCCCTACGCCGAGAAGCTCCTAGTCCGGGGGAGCGCTGAAGAGAAGGCCGACAGAGAGAAAAAGCCTTCCCCTGGAGCTGACACCCTGAATTTGGACTGTTAGCCTACTTTGACTGTGAGGAAATAAACTTCTCTTCATCAAAACCATCCACTTGTGGTGTTTCTGTTATAGCAGCACTAGACAACTAAGACAACCTCTACAACAAAAAGACGAATAATTCAATTAAAAAATGGGCAAAGGATATGAACAAACACTTCACCAAAGAAAACATTCAGGCAGCTAACAGACACATGAGGAAATGCTCACAAGCATTAGCCATTAGAGAAATTCAAATCAAAACTACAGTGAGATACCATCTCACCCAGACATTACTGGCACGAATAAAAAAAAACAGAAAATAACAAATGTTGGGGAGGCTGTGGGGAGATTGGAACTCTTATGCACTGGTGGTAGGAATGTAAAGTGGTCCAATCATTTTGGAAGATGATATGGCGCTTCCTTAAAAAGCTAGAAATAGAAATACTATATGATCCAGCAATCCTACTCCTTGGAATATATCCTATAGAAATAAGAGCCTTCATATGAATAGACATATGCACATCCATGTTCACTTCAGCATTATTCACAACAGCAAAAAGATGGAAACCTTAGTTCCCATCAATGGATAAATGGATAAACAAATTATGGTACATACACGTAAGGGAATACTATGCAACAATAAAGAACAATGATGAATCTGGGAAACATCTCACAAGATGGATGAATCTGGAGGGCATTATGCTGAGTGAATTAAGAGAATCATAAAAGTGCAAATACTGTATGAGACCAGTATTATAAAAAGTCATGAAAAGGTTTATGCACAGAAAGAAACAATCTTTGATGGTTACTAGGGAAGGGAGGAGAGCCCTGCTGTCACAGTGGTTAAGAGCTCAGGATGCTACCCAAGAGGTCGACAGTTCAAATCCACCAGCCGCTCCTTGGAAACCCTATGGCGCAGTTCTACTCTGTCCTACAGGGTCGCTATGGGTCAGAATCAACTCGAGGGTAAAGGTTAAGGGCTTAGGGAGAAGAGGGGCAGGGAGGGAAAAACACTAAGTAGACAGTAGATAAGTGGCAACTTTGGTGAAGGGTAAGACAGTATACAATTCTGGGGAAGTCAGCACAACTTGACCAAGGCAAGGTCATGGAAGCTTCATAGACATGTCCAAACTCCCATAGGGATCGAATTACTGGGCTGTGGGCTGGGGACCATGGTCTTGGGGGACATCTAGCTCAATTGGAGTAACATAGTTTATAAAGAAAATGTTCTACATCCTACTTTGGTGAGTAGCATCTGAGGTCTTAAAAGCTTGTGAGCGGCCATCTGAGATACTCCACTGGTCTACCCGTCTGGAGCAAGGGATAATGAAGACAACTAAAGACACAAGGGAAAGATTAATCCAAAGGACTAATGGACCACAACTACCACAGCCTGCGTTAGACTGAGTCGAGCACAACTAGATGGTGCCAGGCTACCACCACCAACTGCTCTGAGAGGGATCACAATAGAGGGTACCGGACAAGTTTGGAGAAAAATGCAGAACAATATTCTAACTCACAATAAAAAACCAGACTTACCGGTCTGACAGAAATTGGAGAAACCCTGAGAGTATGCCCCTGGACACCCTTTCACTCAGTACTGAAGTCACTCCTGAGGTTCACCCTTCAGCCAAAGATCAGACAGGCCCATAAAACAAACAATAATAAATGTAGCTCAACCACGTATCCGAGACAAAATGGGCACACCAGCCCAGCAGCAAGGACAAGAAGGCAGGAGGGGACAGGAAAGCTGGACGAATGAAAATGGGGACCCCAAGGTCGAGAAGGGGTGAGTGTTGACACATTGTAGGTTTGGCATCCAATGTCACAAAACAATATGTGTATTAATTGTTTAATGAGAAACTAATTTGTTTTGTAAACCTTCATCTAAAACACAATAAAAGAGGAAGAAAATGGATATTATTAAATGTATGTTAAATTTGTATTCAGTGCAGCTGTGAAAAATTATTTTATTAACATTTATTAATAAAAATGTTGTTAATTAAAAAAATAAGATGGCTTGATGGATGATGCAGAGAGCGATGCATATATGGACAGATACATATGCTGATAGAGTGGTCTGTCTTTAATATTCCCACCCAGGCTCCCTAACCTGAATCCTTGGGCTCAAAGCATTCTCTGATATGGAGGGTGGGAATTGAGTCTCTGTCTCTCTCTTCTAGTCCCCTCTGCCTGTCAGAGAAACCTTCCTCCCTGTTCTGAACCCACAGTAACTTTCTCTGTCTCTATGACTACTTAATTGTACTAAAGTAATTAATCTTGTAGCTAGTGGGGGAAGAAATGTTTTTTCTGGTCATATAGCCACGGTCACGGGACTGCCATGCTATCTGAATTTGAACAAAGCTTGGCAACAGAATGGTCAGACCAGGTGTAGCTGAACAAAGGCCTCTTCCTCTTCCTCCCCTTCCCTGTTCCCATGCATTTTGAGGTATAAAACCCCTAGACCCCTTTGCCTTGTAGTCTTTTGCCTTCAACGTAAACTTGGAACCTGTATGTGTCAGCTCACCCTGAGACAGAATTCTGAGGGAGACCACTGCAAGATGAACCTTACCCTATTCATCTGTGTCCTAACCACTGTGTAAGTAAATAAAAGCTTGTAAAATGCCACTGGGTAATGTCAATTAATTACTGAGAGCTACAGCCCTCTGTAAGCCCATTTTTCATCGCGGCTCATCTCAGTATGATAAAGCAATATAGTAAAATATTAATGGTAGACTACAGTGGTGTATATACACATGTTCCTTATACAATTCTTTCAACTTTGATACAAGTTTGAAATTTTTATAAAATGTTGGGGAAAAACTCCAGGATGGTTTTCAGAAGATAGAAGAAAAAGAGGCTAGCGTGAGAACATATATGACTTAGCCTTTGTGACATTCTTGCTGTGTTGCCTCTCCTTTTCTAGCTAACCTTGGATGAACTAACCTCCACTCCCGGTTCTTGTGTAAACTGGTAGCTTCTTGGCCATTTCAACAAGCATCTGCTTCTGTACCTCAGGTCTCTCTTCATTTTCATAGCGCTCCTTGTCTGTATAAGACAAGTGAAACTGGAAGCAGAAGTAACAGACAAAACTTTATTTTCCAAGTTTCACAGAAAAGATTAACAGTAACAGTAACAATAAGAACTATTTAAATGGAAATAGTAATTATCTACCCTTGCAGCCCAGGTACCAATCTGGCTTATTATTTTCTCTGGCTACTTATCTCAATTATCTCAATCCCCGTAAGTCTATGAGATTGGTGGTACTATCTTTATTTCATAAAACAGAAAAATAACACTTAGCGAGATTAAGTACCTTGTCCAAGGTTGTATTCACTCAACTAGTAAGTACCAGGGCTGGTCCCCAAACCCATGTCATCTGACTCTAATTCATGTGCCCTTTCCCCTCCCTTGGAGCCCTGGTGGTGAAGTGGTTAAGAGTTTGGCTGCTAACCAAAAGGTCGGCAGTTTGAATCCACCAGCTGCTCTTTGGCAACCCTATGGGTCAGATCTACTCTGTCCTATAGGGTCGCTATGAGTCGGAATCAACTCGATGGCAATGGGTTTGGTTTTGGTTCCCCTCCCTTATACCATAATATGATATCATATACAGTGTGGCTGGTTAGCCATGTTTTGTTATTAAGTGCTAAGTATGGTTCATAAGTGACACTGATGATACTCTTGGAGAAGCTGGATGTGACTGCTTGTAACATTGTCTGTATATTCTAATCTTGCAAATGAGTAGAAATTTAGACATTATTACTATTTCAGTAATTTTTAGTTTGTTAGGGAGAAAGACGTGGCAGTCTGCTTCCATAAAGATTTACAGCCTTGGAAACCTGATGGGCATGTCATGAATTGAATTGTGTCCCCCCAAAATATCTGTCAACTTGGCTAGTTCATGATTCCCAGTATTGTGTGATTGTCTAGCATTTTGTCATCTGATGTGATTTTCTTATGTGTTGTAAAACCTGCCTCACTGATGTTAATGAGACAGGATTAAAGGCAGTTATGTTAATGAGGCACGACTCAATCTACAAGATTAGGTTGTGTTTTAAGCCAATCTCTTTTGAGATATAAAAGAGAGAAGTGAGCAGAGAGACATAGGGACCTCATAACACCAAGAAAGCAGCTCCAGGAGCAGAGCGTGTCCTTTGAACCCGGGGTTCCTGCGTGGAGAAGCTCCTAGACCAAGGGAAGACTGATGACAAAGACCTTCCTCCAGAGCTGAGAGAGAAAGAAAGCCTTCCCCTGGAGCTGGTGCCCTGAATTCAGACTTCTAGCCTACTAGACTGTGAGAGAATAAACTTGTGTTTGTTAAAGCCATCCACTTGTATTTCTGTTATAGCAGCACTAGATAACTAAGACAGGACAATTCTACTCTGTCCTATAGGGTCACTATGAGTGAGAATCCACTCGATGGCAGTGAGTTTGTTTGTGGGATGGACCTTGTTACCACACTTTGCTAATTTTGCAAAAGATATGCCAAAGATTTTCCATAGTAATGCAGACTGGGAAGCTTTCTTCTGTGTTGGCAGAAGGGTAGGCAGAGGTGAAAAGCAGAAGGATCTAAGTCAGAATTTCTTGGTTTAAACCTCATCTCTGCCACATAGTAATTAGAAAATCACTTTGGAAAAATCACTTATGACTCCGGCAAGATGGCGGTCTAGGCAGAAGCACCACGCCGTCCCTCCACAACAAAGATCCGAAAAACTAAGCCAAACAGAGAATCAACAATCCTGAAACCCTAGAACATCAAATGAA